ATATATATATAACGACTAGAAAGGATTAGCCAAAATTAAGGCAATCTTTATTTACCTTCCTTGTAATCATATCATGTAAGGCATAAGAGGTGCTTATTTGACAGGATACCGTTTCTTGTAAGGTCTTCTACAGTTGGATTTCCGTTCAGAAATGCACCATGTTAGACTGTGTCAGTTTGAGAGACCCTCCTCTGGCACAGGCTTTTACTTACTCCTGATAAATGCATTTTTTCCTCACCGAGTCTGGCTCAAACTCAGTTGCTGTTTCAGCGGCAGGCAGGGCAGTGTGGCAGCTGCACTGAAGGTCACCTGTTTTACCACACGAAGTAGGAGGTGCGCATGAGGCAGCTCCTGGTTCTCTCAGGCCACATTCTGAATGATGACTGCGATGCCTTGGCCACCTCCAATGCAAGCTGAACCAACAGCATATTTTCCACCTCGACGCCTAAGAAAGCAAGCAGTGGCTGAAATCTACTCTGATAATTAGATTAACTAATTAAAGAAAATTAATATCAGTCACATTTGCATTATTCATTCTTACTCAGTTTGGCTTCTCAGTCTTTCCCATGATCCTCTGTTTTGGTTTATAATCACAACAGCTGAATATTGTCAGTCAAAAAAAGAAAGCCAGAGGGCCAGAGATTGGCTCAGTGGTTCTGCTTGCTGCCTGCCTTGGAAGCACAAGGGCCTGAGTTTTGGTACAAAAAAAACCCGAAACAAACCCCAAAAAAGAAATCCAAAAATGTAACATAGAAGAAGGAAATCTAAGAAGAGAATGGGTAGGTTTAGGTTTAGGGCTAGAAGCACTGAAACAAATACACGAGCTTATTTGTGCTGTGGAAAAGTGGCAACAGGTAATAATTTAGATAAATAAGGGAATCTGAAAAATGAGGAAGGAACATTCAGCTTCTTTAATTTACATGGTTTTAGATTCCTATGGTACTTCAGAATATAAGTAATTAGTCAAATTTGTCCATATGAAAGAGCAAAGGGAAACAAGTCCCACTTTCTGTAGCCTAACAGAGAGTCAGAGGGACTTTTCAGCCTCACATATTTGGTTTCTTTTGTAATTTTCCTGCTAATAGAAAAAATGACCTAAAATACACAAGGCCAGAAGGAGGAGCTCTTCTGTCGAAATATTGTATCAAACATGCTGAAGGCTCCCCCCGGACATAGTGAAGGGAAATCTCAGAAGCAAATCCCAAATGGCCAGTTTAATCAGGTTCAGTAAACAAGCACTAAAATGCAAAGTGTCCTGAGAACCCGGGCTTCCTCATGTGCTGGTCATCGGCACCGGGTGGGCAAACCTCTCACAGAGCAGAGCTCGGCCCCCAGTGAAGGGCAGCTAAGTTGACTGCAAGTCATCTGCAAGGCACTGCGGAGCTACCCAAATGAATGTTCCTGGTCAGAATCGTGCAGGGGATGGAAGGAACAGGGGCAAAAAGTTGGACTATTATGAGAAGACTGAAATTCGTGTGTTTCTATTGAAAACAGCACATCCGAAATAGAACTACCTTAATTCATGAACCAAGTGTGTGGTAATTCTTGTTCCAGATCCTCCCAATGGGTGACCCAAAGCAATGGCTCCTCCATTCACATTGGTTTTGCTTGGATCAAGATTCAAACTCTTCTCCACAGCCAAGTACTGGGGAGCAAAAGCTTCATTCACCTTAGAAAAAAAAAGGTAATAGTAGTAAAAGTCTTTATTCACAAATTTTTAACCAAAATGGTCCAGTCTTACTGAGAGTGAATTGTGCTATTTCTTCTTATTTAAATTACATCATAATGCTGTTTGAACTTATCTTTACACTTGATCTTAGCCAAAAGGCCAAGAAGCGATATTTTTTTAAACTTATCTTTAATCATTGTGTAAAGATATCAGGTTTTTCTGGGGGTGGGGGGAATAATAGAATAATTATGTTCAAGATTATCTAGAAGTATCTTCCTTTATAAAAGATGTCAGGTTAAAAGCAGGTATATTTAATAAATGATATTTTGCATCAAATACATCCTGTAAAGAAAACATCAGTAAACTTGCAAATGGACACTAGAGGCAGGGAGATAATGTAGAAAGCCTATAGGTTTTTTTTTTGAGACAGGGTCTCACTATGTAGTTGAGACTGACCTGGAACTCACTATGTAGCCCAGGCTGGTCTCGAACTCAGAGCAATCCTCCTGGCTCAGTCTCCCAAGTGCTGGGATTACAGATGTGCGTCCCCATGCCTGGCGAAAGTCTATAGGTTTTGGAGCTAGATAGACAGTTTAAATCTTGGCTGAATCATTTATTTGTGTGTGACCCTGGACATGTTATTTAAGCTCTTTATACTCACATTTTCTCAACTGCAAAATCCGATGCAGTATCATGCTGACAGTCATTGTTAAAGTTAAATAAAATCACAGGTAGTGTCTAGCGTATGAGACCTGGCTCACTATGTAGCCCAGGCTGGTCTCGAACTCAGAGCAATCCTCCTGGCTCAGTCTCCCAAGTGCTGGGATTACAGATGTGCGTCCCCATGCCTGGCGAAAGTCTATAGGTTTTGGAGCTAGATAGACAGTTTAAATCTTGGCTGAATCATTTATTTGTGTGTGACCCTGGACATGTTATTTAAGCTCTTTATACTCACATTTTCTCAACTGCAAAATCCGATGCAGTATCATGCTGACAGTCATTGTTAAAGTTAAATAAAATCACAGGTAGTGTCTAGCGTATTACCTGACAGATAGCAAGTTCTAATAAGGGGCTGCTATTATTACCCCTTATTATATATTATATTATTATTATAGTAAAGCCATTCTTCCAAGAAGAAACTGATAGTCAACAAAGAATAAACCTTCAGAACATGAGACAGAGAGAATGGTTACTATGCTCAAATGAGGCAGAAAGGAAAAATGTCACATTGTTATATTTATACTACCAAGGCTGGCTGTGCAAACTGTCTTGTTTCATCAACAGTAACTATAATTTTATAAAGACATTGATTCTGAGGAAGGTAACATTTACAGAGTTGGGCCAAACTTCAGTCTTGTTCTCTTCCTTACTATATTTTATTTATTGATTATTATTTTTTTGTACCAGAGATTGAACTCATGTCCTTGCACTTGCAAGGCAGGCACTGGAACCACTGAGCTAAATCCCCAGCCTCCTACTATATTTTAGTACCTAATATAATACCTATATTTTAGTTCCTAAAATTATTTGTCCTTAGATCCAACATCATTCATTTGTTTTACATCATCATACTCAGTTACTGTAGTGAGACCTAGAATATGTTATGAAGAATAAGCTTCTGAATGAGGAGAATCAGGCTGTCCTTAAGTATTATATACCTACAAATGATAATAAACAGCTTTGCAGACTTGCTGTGTTTTAATGGTTTTAAGCATTCTAACATCAGAAATTTAGTGTTACCCTATTTGCAGTTGCAAATACAGTAGTACTTTGGTTCAAGCGCTTAATTTTTTCCACAATTCTGGTCACAAACTGAATTGGATGAGATGCAAATAAAATTCAATGGTTAGGTTCATTGTTGACTTCATGGGGAAATTTGATTAGATTTTCATCCAATTCGGTTTGCCACCAGAATTGTGCAAAGAATTAAGTTCGTTAACCAGGGCATCACTGTACAGCATGATAATTAAGCAGCCCCCCTGAGTTTCTGAACTACTAAGAATGAAGATTTTACAGATAAACTGTTATTCAACAGTTTCCCGGTAAGAGATCATTAGAGGAAACCACACACATATCTACTCCTTCTTTATTATTTAAATAGATTCCTTTGCCATATTATTTCCCAGAGCCAAGCAGCACAGCTTACTTACCTGAAATTGTCAGATACTTCCCCAAAGTGAAAGGTATATAACCCACAGAGTATTTTCTACTTTGTCTCTTCTTTTAATTATGGCAAATGCTTAAGACATCCTTGTTGTAATATTAATATTTTAAGTAATGACTCTTGTGGCAGGAAGTGTAGCTCAGCAGTAGTGTATGTGCATGAGTCTATCCTCAGTACCACACATACATACACTCTACCAGTAAATTTAAATTTCCACTGTCTTCCATCAAGCCACAACTATGGCGTAAAAGCCAAAGATAGGTTTGAGAAGGCCTCAGTTTGGGGGAAGGGGCAAAAAACTTGATTTGGCAGTAGGTCAATTCTTTTGTCTATATATTTTTTTTCATTTAAAATGGGAGTATGGGGCCAGGGATTTGGCTCAGTGGTTCTGCCGCCTGCCTTGCAAACGCAAGGGTCCGAGTTCAATCTCCAGTACCAAAAACAAATCAAAATAAATAAATAAATAAATTTAAATTTTAAAAAATGGGATTATGGTTACTTACTTTTCTCCTACCTTCTGTAATATTCAGTTCAATAGACATATCAACAGTCTAAAATGTAACAGAATAGTACAAAGTTCCAAGAAGTTCCCAGGACTTCATACTTTAGGAGAAATAAGGCTGTTAAGTTATTCAAATGTAAGCAAAGCATTTCAATCAGGTACGGAAAAGTACTAGCATAAGGCCTGTAATATTCACCTATCAGGAAAGGCGAATAGTACCTGCACAAAGAGCTATAAAATCCTAAGCTAAAGCCAGTGATGCTATAGAAATAGGTGGTTCACTCCTGTTGTAAAAACAGAACACTTACCTCTACCAAATCCATGTCTTTGAGACTCAGTCCTGTTTTCTTCAATGCCCCACTGATGGCAGGAACAGGACCTATGTAAGCATAAGATTCTCTTATAAAAATAAGCATTATCTTATTTATTTGTGTCAAAATTCTTGCTTAATAAGTAAGGAGGAAATAATGTGAGTCAGCTGTAGCCACAAATCTTGCTGCCTTGTGAACACGTGTTTAGTAATGGGACAATGAAGAAAAAGAAAATAGGACCAGGGTGAAAGGTTGTTTGACTTTGTAGTTAAACTGCAGGTGAGAGGTAGGTCTATGACAAGATCTACCATGTGTGGCTTTACGATTTCAAAAATCCAAAGAAGTCACTGGCAGGGTTTAGAGTCAGTTATAGATCACACTCAATCTCAGACAACTGGGCCAATGAGTGCTCTCCAGAGTTCATGCGATAGAATTTTCAGAGACTCATCTGGATAAAAGGCAAGAAACAGCAGCAGCATCGCCACAGGAGCACAACATAGCACAGAGGGGTTCCCCCTTCAGCGAAAGACAGGTAAAGTACAGAAACAGTCCTAACTCCAACGGTAGGCAGAGGATTTAAAGAAAACACAATTCTTGACTCAAGAAATGCAAATCTAAGGCTGGGGATTTAGCTCAGTGGTGCCACCACCTGCCTTGCAAGTGCAAGGTTCTGAGTTCAATCCCTGGTACCACACACACAAAATGCAAATCTGTCTAGTAAGACTTTTGATAACCAGTGATGTTGACCATCTTTTCATATATTTATTTGCCATTTGTACTTCTTCATCTGAGATCCATTTTTAGACTGGATCTTTACATTTGGAAGGCTTGATTTTTCTCAGTTCTTTATATATTCTAGATATCAGTCTTTTATATGAGGACATCTGGAAATGTTTTTTCCCCACTCTGTTGGTTGTCTCTTTACTCTGTTGGTGGTTTCTTTTGCTATGCAAAAGCTTTTTAATAGGATGTGATCTCTTTTGATTATAGTATTTATATTTTATAATATATAATATCATCTGTGTGATCAGGGTTTCATTCACAAAGTCTTTGCCTACACCTATGTCTTCAAGAGTTTCACCTATTCTCTCTCCCAGCAAATTTAGTGTTTGTTTTAACATTTAGATTTTTTATTTATTTTGATTTTAGTTTCTGCATGGTGAGAGATATGGTTTTAGTCTAGTGTAGTTTTAGTCTTTAGCATGTGGAAAGATAGTTTTTCCAGCACCATTTATTAAAGAGGCTTTCTTCCAGTGAGGGTGTTTGGCTGCTCTGTCAAAGATAAGGCGGTTCAGTGTGTTTAGAGTTGTTTCTGCTCTTCTATTCTGTTCCACTGATCTTCAGGTCTGCTTTTTTTTTTAGGTCTGTTTTGGTTTGTTTTTGCCAGTCCCATGCTGTTTTTATCAGAGTAGCTCTGTAGTATAATTTCAGGTCAAGGATTGTGATGCCCCTTGCCTTGCCTTTGTTTCCCATAATTGTTTTTTCTATTCTAGGTCTTTTCTAGTTCCAAATGAAGTTTAGGAATGTTTTCTCTAGTTCTGTGAAGTATGCTATTGGGATTTTGATTGGGATTGCATTAAATCTGTGTAACAATTTTGGGAATATGGTCATTTTTACTATGTTGGTTCTTCCTACCCATGAGCGAGTGATATCTTTCCATTTTCTGATATCCTCTTTGACATCCTTTTTCAGAATACTATAGTTTTCAATGTAAAGATCTTTTACTTCCTTTGTTAAATTGATTTCTAAGTATTTCATTTTTTTTTTCATGCCATGGTGTAAGGCATGGTTTCCCTAATTTCTCGGTAAGTTTGTGATTTGTGTATAAGAATGCTATTAATTTTTGAGTGTTGACTGTATCCAGCCACATGACTGAATTTGGTTGTTAAATCTAGCAGTCAGGAAGCCGGGTGTGGTGGTGCACACCTGTAATCCCAGCACTCAGGGGGCTGAGGCAGGAGGGTTGCTGTGAGTTCGGGACCAGCCTGGGCTACATAGTGAGTTCTAGGTCAGACTCAACTACATAGTGAGACCCTGTCTCAAAAAACCAAAACAATAAAATTTAAAAAAAAAATCTAGCAGTCAGGGCCAGGGACTTAGCTCAGTGGTTCTGCTGCCTGCCTCACAAGTGCTAGGTCCCAAGTTTGATTTCTGGTATTAAA